CCAATACTCAATTTGATTATTAATAGCATTATAAATATTAACTGATGTATGTGGATATTTTAAATAAGACAAAGTAAGAAGAGCCTCCTGCATTTTAAAGCTTTCATCTATCCATGAACATGTGATTCCTAAAAAGCCTTGTCGATTCCGTGCTGTCCATAAATCGATCGTTAAACATACAGTCTTACTAGTTAATTCTAATCGTTGCTTCAGTAAATTTGTTGAATAATTATAAGTTACGTGAATAAGTTGCTTCACAGTTTTTTCACATGGCATAATGAATGCAGAATCCAGATTATGAACAAATTCTTGAAACGATTCTTTTGACACAAGATTAAGTGGCATATTTTCACGAATTATGAATTTCAATAAAGATCGAATAAGAAAATCATTTCTTGCTTTTGGATGAGTTTTATTGTCGTTAACTTGATTATCCTAATAAAAAAATAAAATTTAAACAACCATATAATGATAATAATATATAATAATCTTCGATCTGCAAAACATTACCGTGACACCATGCACTGAAGAAAGGTGATGAATAAGGTTCGAAGTTGTTCCTCCTACAATTTTGATTTTTTGAGTGCATCGTATATTATCTTTTATAATTTGACATTCACCATAGTGGGTTTCTTTCCCATCTTTATCAGTTACTATGATCGAGTCAAAGTGTCTCCAAACCCAGGATCGCTTTTTAGATCCACTACGCCTTTCCAATTTTTGTTTTTTAGGTTGCTTATGATTATCAGTAATGACCTCTTCTATACTGGAATTTGGTCCTTCACAAGCTGAAATATTAATACTATGAGATTCGTCCTCAACGGAGGGTGCAGTATCTTCATTTAATATTGGATCGATTTCCATTTTATTAATTAACGTCAAGGTCAATTTGAAAAATTAATCAAATCAATATTTAATTAAATCAATATTTATAGAATCTGTTATTTAATCAAACAATTTATCACAATCAAAACAATAAAATTAGCTTTAACCGATGCTTGATGATTAACCAATTGAAAACTCAATGAATGAAAGTTTATTTCGGTGCTTGAAAATTT